GCAGCAAAGTCTAGATTACATGCAAAACACGTTTCTTTCTATTTTTATAGTGTACAGAGCAATTACAGGAGAACCCTTATAGTATTTTAAAATTACATTGTATATTTAACTTGTAACAAGAAACATGTGTGCTAAGGGATGAAACTGTATGTCATTTTTCACAATCTGACCTCTAAAGAAAAGTTCTTTCAAAGGACTCAAAAATCCTTAATTTTAAAATTCATACATGTATAAAAATTTAATTACTAACATATATAAAATATAGTCCAATACATTGGAAATATTGATTATATTAGTATATTCTCATATGTGTGTATGTATATACTTATATTAGCATATCTAAAATAGATATGCCCAGATTTTTACTTCCTTTTCTCAAAATCATAACAACTGATCCAAACATCATTTCTGAGTCTGCTGTTATGTCTAAAATTTATTTTTAAGCCTTATGTTAAGACTAAAATTTATTTTATTCAAACAACTACTCCCCAAAGTACTTCTTTGATCATGATGATTTGTCTTGTTCCTATAGTTTGTGGGGGAACAGAACAGCAGACTTCTAGATACTCCTGTATTCTTAGGAGTGAAGTCCATCAGAGTCACAAGACATTCAAGGATTGTCCTGCGACTATCATCCATGCGGTTGAGGCTACAATTTTCTTTAACAACATAGCCCAGAAAAGGAGTAATGTCAGGGAAGTCCACCCTACACAGGACAGAAGAACACAACTCCTTGGAGTTACATGGAACACAGATATCTCTATCTGCCAGGGCACCTACTGCCCTCAGGCACCCTCTTCTAGGGAGCAGGATCTAGGGTGGAACTCACTTGAACTGCACACAGCCATGAGTATGCCATCAGCATCACTCAGCTTCCTGCTCTACTCTCCAGTCAGGGGACCAGACATCTATCTCCTGTCCCACCTATGGACCACGGAGGCACCAGCTTGAGCTGTTACTTTGTAGTTATTGCATCCAGAGGATGTGGGCGTCTGAAACTCTGCTATGGGAAACCTGGGGTCGAGGTAGTGAGGAAATCTGGTGTGACTGTTTGAGCGGGGGAGTGTAGCTGTGAAGGGATCTTAGTCCCAGCTCAGGTGGTGCAAGAGTGACTGCCAGGGTGGCTCCTGGTCAGGTAGAGAAATTTCCTAACATATGGCTCAGCAAATTTACAAACCCAAACAGGCACAGGGCCTGACCACTTTTTAACGGTGCAACAGCCAGTGCTGATGCTGTGCCACATGGAGAGATGATACGACCAGCATTCAGCTCAGGGCTGGTACCCTAATCCTGTCTGGTGGTGCTGGGTGAGTGGCTGGCTTTCTCCCTCTGTCCTGGCTGCCCCGAGTGCTCTGTGGGACTCAAAGGCCAGGAGGACACTGAGGACCTCAAGGGATGGTGCAGTTCTTGACCTGTGGCTGCCCCCCTGACCTTGCAGCACTACAGGCTGTGGGAAGAGTTCAGAGGAAGCTGCCAAGTAGAAAAGGAGCTGGGGATGCCGGTTGGCAGATGATAGAACATGAGGAAGCAGTGTGCCCAACTGACCAAAAAGGACAATGTCATCTTGGCTTGTACCAGAAATAGCGTGGCCAAAAGGACCAGGACAGTGACCATGGCTCTGAACTGGGGACTGGTGAGTCCTGCTCCCAGTTCTGAGCAGGAAAGACACTGGGGTTCTGGAGAGAGCCCAGAGAAGGAAAACATAATTGAGGAAAGGTTTGGAGCACAAGCCTGATGAAGAGCGGCTGAGGAACGTGCAGATGTTTAGCCTGGAGAAAAGGAGGCTCAGGGGGACCTCATCACTCTCTGCAACTGCCTGAAAGCAGGCTGTAGCCAGGTCGGGGTCGGTCTCTTCTTCCAGGCAACCACGGACACGACAAGAGGAAATGGTCTCACACTGTGCCGGGGTAGGACATTAGGAGAAATTTTTTCACAGAAGAGGTGATTAAAGTTTGGAATGGGCTGCGCAGGGATGTAGTAGAGTCACCGTCCCTGGAGGTATTTAACGAAGGACTGGACGTAGTGCCACGGCGTAATTGACATGGTGGTCGGTCACAGTTTGGAATCGATGACCTCTCAGTCCTTTGCAGCTTAAGTGATGCTGAGTGACGCCTCCGTCTGCCCGTGCCCCGCGGAGGGCGGGCGAGGCCATTGCACAGCCCGACCGCGCCCCACAGCGGCGGGACCGCCACACTGCGCAGGCGCCGCGCAAGGAGAGGCGACGGGGAGGGGGGCGCGGGCCCTCGGTGCGCATGCGCCGCGCTCCGCTCCGGGGCGGTCCCCGCCCGCCGGCGCTCCCCGCCCGCCGGGCCGGGCCGGGCACGGGGGTCCCGCTCCGCCGCCGAGCCGGCGCCGCGCTGAGGGGCGGGCGGCGGCCGCTGACCGCGGGGAGCGCCCCGAGGCTTCCACCTGGTGCCGCCTGGGGCGGGGCGGGGCGGGGCGGGGCGGTGACCAACACATCCCGGCTCCTTCTTCCTTGGAGCAGCGGGGGTGGAGAGATAGGGGCTGGGGGAGGTCCTCTCCGCCTCCGTCGGAGGGAGCGGAACGAAGCGAGGGGAAAGGTGGGTGTTAGAGAGGGGCCGGGTTTCGGAGGGGCCGGGCTTGGGGTGGGGGTATTCCCGAAGGTTGCTCCGCCAGGTACTTGTGGAAGGAGGAAGCCGGCGGCCGTCACCGACCTGGAGTTGAGAGGCCGGGCGCTGCCGCGGGGAACTTTGTGGTACTTGGGGCGTGCGGGTCTCGCTTCCGTTCCCTTCCTCTTTCTCTCTTTTTCTCCCAGCGCGGCCGGAGGCGCGTTTTCCCCAGGGCCGTGGCCGGGGTCGGTTTCCCGCCCCACGGGGGCCGTGGCCTCGCGCCCGGCCGCGGGCCGGGATGCGCCGGGAGCGCCGCTCCGCGGGGCTGAGCGCGCTCCCGTCCCTGCGCGGGGTGGAGGTGGCGGCCGCCGCTCGGGGCCTGCGCTTGCCTGGTTTTTAAACTTTATTACGGAGTTACCCCTGTTAAAGTGTTAAAAAAAATCCTTTGGCGCGCGGGTTTCTTAGCAGTGGGTCCCGATGAGTTTCTGGGTGTTTGGTTTCACGTGGTAGTTGAAGTTTAGTACCCCCAGTCCGGGGGGTGCTTGTCTGTAGCAGAGAAAACGTGGAGCCGCTCCTACTTGCCTTGTCGCTTGTGCCTGGTGGAAGTGCATATGTGGAAGCGAACTGATTGACATCTATTCTGCAGGGTTAATCAATAATCAGAATGGTTATTCATGTAATGCATTTTATAGACCTTACTGAAAGCCTTAACTATGCAGCAGATTGGGGTGAAGGGATGAAGTTGCTACAGCATTGTCGTCCTCAGAAGATAAAAATATTTTTAACAAGTCTGAAGTATTGTGCTCCCATTGCTGGGATAATGTGATGGTAGCTCATTGTCATATGTCTTGATAAAGTTTCTCAACTTGAAACTAAGTAATAAACCCAAGTTCATTTTGTGTACTGCCAACTTCCCTCACTGCTTTTTAAGTGAAAATGTGATTGCTGTTATTTTTCCTTTACCTATAGATTTTTCAAAATCCAGAGTCTGGGAGGCATGGCCGTGGTGGGAAATTTAGCTGTCTCAGGGAACTAACCATGCCTAATGTTTATTTTTTTTCCTCGTAACTATATACAGAGATGAAAATACAAATGTTCACTGAAGTCAGCGCTTCCAACTTCATGCAAAGATATAGATGTTACACTAACTTAAACTTGCATCCTGCATCTCAATGACATTTTGCTGTTCTTGAAATCTAGGTATTCTGATACAAAAGTTAAGAAGGCTTCTTTTTTTCCTTGTGATTCAAAAAACTTCCTGATGTATTTTAACAAACTGTTGTAGTAGAAGCCTTTATAGGGAGACATGTGGACTAGGACAGTCTTTTATAAATGCTGATTAATCAAACAGTAAATAGTCTTAAGAAATATCTTTTTGAAGAAATTAGTTTTAAAAATGTACTGAGTAATTCTGCTATGATCAGCATTTTTTCACATTTGCTTTAAAACTGCACTTTGCAAAATTTCAAGAGAAAATTAAGGAAGTTCTCACTGGAGTGAGAATCTTTTTTTATTAATCTGTAAAATGTACTTATGGAGGAACTTGTAATTTTGTTTTTCCTTTGTTCTATTTGAGAATACAGGTCTTTGTTTTTTTCTTAAGTTGTGGAATTGCTGTCTATTGTGGGTGTATGATTCCTATGCTGTCATACAACTAGTATGAGTCTCTTTTCCCAGGTATTTTTAAAAATTTTCATAAAGGTTTTATTATTTTAGTTGAGAAAGTAGTGAAAAAGAATCGTCTGTCAGTTAGTGTACTGCTCTGCAATACTAATAAAGATAACTTTATATTGACATTGTTTCTGGTTTGGGTAGAAATGATGCAGGTAAAATATATGTAGTTCTTAAACTGTACAAATCTAACATTGCAATGTAGAACTTCCCTAATAAGTTTCCTTTTGAGAGAGTACAACAAAGACTGTAGACACATTAAAGCTGAATCACCTGAGTGTTTTTAAAGAAATTTTCTGAAATAGAGCCTTTGTGTTTCAGTGAAGATACAGGTGATTGGTGATAACTGCAAACTTGAGTATGCTCTGGGATGCTAAGTGCTGCCTGTGACACTTCAGGAAGACTTGGGGTTTTTTTGGGTGATTTGGGGGTGTAGGTTTTTTGCTAGAAGATGCTAAATACCTTCTGAGAATTGAATGTCATTGGTTGATCTCCAAACTGTTAGTCAAAAAATGCAGATGTTAAGAAAGGTGTTGGTTTAAACTGCCATAGGAAACCTAAAGTAAAATGAAATTTTTCATAAGCTGTCTTGTGACTTTTTATTTAATAAAAAAAAAAAGTAAAAGAAAAAAATTACACTTCCTTGCTGCTTTCATACAGAAATGGGGGCATCAGTTTATTTCTGTGGAACGCTGAGGCTAATTTAGATCCCAACCTTATATTTAATCAGGGTGAGAATATGTAAAAGTAAACACAGAGAAATAATTTTTATTTGATTCAGAAAATTTCTGTAGAAAGCTGTGAGAATTTCAGTTTTATGGCAAAGAAATTGGCTCTTTATTTCAGCTTATTGTGTTAGCAGAAAAATGTGGCTCAAGTTAAACTGATAAAAATCGAAGAAGCCAGAATAGTGTGAACTGTAGTTTTTTGTTGGCTATCAAAAGCAGACCAGATATGTGCCTAGACCTATGGGTGTTTGTAGTTGAGGTTAGTGGCCTCCTTGTGGGTTAGTAAGAGGGGAACTCAGGAACAACACTAAACACAGCAGCTGTATTTCATTTTCAAATTAAATTCAGTTGTTCTGGTACCCGATTAAATCTTCAGGTAACAAGACTTTGGAATTCTGGAAGATAATGCTCAATCTTTTAAAGAGTCATCAACAACTTCCTTATTATTATCCATAGATTTCTGGCTCAGAAGCCTTTTTTTATTTATTTATATTCTATATAGAATTACATAGTTTACTTTTTCCTGTAGTTGTTTCATAAATACTTGTTTTTAACCCATATGTGCTTGTGGAAAACATGTAGCGTAGCCTAGTATGAATGAAGTTCTCTCTCCTTCTGAGCTTGCTGTTCACTCCCCAGTCTTGTTTATTACTACTAGCTGATATAATCAGAAATGGAAATCATCTGTTACAATAAGAAACACGAAAATAGCAAAATATAAATAAATCTCCTAGTTTCCTTAGCAGCTGTCAAATTACTGTTCATTTGATTTGGTTTGTAGTCAAGAAAATTGATCTGTTTTGTGTACCCTGTCTGGGGAGATAAGCAGTTGATTTGGGTTCTACCAGGACATATTTATCAGGTTTTCTGCTGAACTAATCCTGTGTTAAGTGATAAGCACAAGTGTGTATTTGTCAACTTTCTTTTAAAGGATATCCTGATTAAACAAAATCTTACATCAAAACATGAGGATGAGAGTTAGTTATATCATAAAATTATGCCTGTTGTTTCAAGGCACAGTTCTTAATTCTTTTGCACTCATTAACTGTTGCATGCAATTGCACTCTTGCTTTTGGTTTTCTTGCTTTTGACCGTTGTATATTCATTTGGTGCTGCATATTTTTAATGAAAGACTATAATTAAGAGACTATTTTCCTCTTTCTTTTCTCATTTCAGCATGTGAAAATTGTGCCTATTTCTTCAGGTCTGAGGACGTGAATTTTACATTGACGTTAGAGGCAGCATTTTTTACACGCTTTGCAGAGTGGGTAGGTGAAAAAAGTATTTTGTCTACTCCTGTTGATACCACTTTTCCCTGCTCTTGCTGTTTGCCTCTTGGCTGAAGTTGTTCAAACTCAGGTCTGCTGCCAAAAGAGCCGCACCATCCTCAACAGTTCATTTCTGCACCTCCCTCATAGTGTAGAAACTATCATATGTGATCTGCATGGTAAAATAAATTATTCTGGTACCCTGCTGCCTTGCAGTTGTTAGTCACTGCACTGAGACTGTGAAAACGCAAGGGTGAGGAACGACATGACTGCCTTTGCTCACTGCAGCCATAGATCACCTTAAACTGACCAGGAAACCACACCCTGAATTTCTTGTGAAAGCCAATGGAATGAATGCTCATATGATTCAATAAACCAGCTATTATCTTTGCAATTAACTTCCTTAATCACTCTGAACTACTAGTAATTTAACTTGCCTTTCTTATTCATTAAAAGACGTGGTGTATTACAATGGCATTTAAAGTCAAGGAGAAGATAAATCATTTTTTCCGCACAGTGAATAGTAGAAACAAAGGAATCAGAATTGTGTTTGTATATGTACACTCTCTGAAAGTGTGCATACTTACACAAGAGCACAAGTGTGCAGTGGACTCAGTGATCTCTATTAGGATCTTGCCATTTAAATGAGACATTACTGTTTTCTTGGAAGGTGGATTGCATTAATCACGGATCCAAAACCAGTTCACATATAGGCAGAAATCGAATATTACCATGTTGTCTGCTTTGGGTGGGACCAGACCGTATGGCAAAACTGGGCAATGGTAACCCTTTCCTTGTCTGTAGCTTGCATGGCAGCTACAACTGAAGTGCACATGAGAAGGATGTGACAAAATTTTAGAGTATTGCTCCAGCTTTTCATCCAGCTTACTAGGTGATTCCTAGACTGTACGACTTTGGAAGAGACAATAAACATTTTTAAAGCAAGAATTCAAGGCACATTTTTGCACCTGTCCAGAATGATAACATACTTCAAGGGCTGCATTTGAATGTGTAAATTATGCTTCAACACTTTGAGATACAGACTCTCCTATCTTACAGGTCTTTTCCAACCTAAATGATTCTATGATTCTCTGTGTCTTTAGGCTTTTAACCATCCTGTTTTCTAGGCTGAAATCAAATACTGTTCAGCAGTCAGCAAAGACTGCTGAAAATGAAAAGAATATAGCACCCAAATATTTTATTGACTTGTAACATTACGAGGTTATGTAATTTAATTAATAAATTACATGTAATCCCTCTTGTTATTTTTAGGCATTCTTTGTGCTCCTAATTTTGCTCAGCTTAATTAGGATTTTATTTTTCTAATTTTTTTCCATTTCTGTGGGTTTTTTTGCTGGTTCACTTCCTCATTTTATTACACATGATTCATTTTCTTACTCTTTTGATTTGTCAGTTAATCTGTTTCTATTTTTTAGACTCTAGTTTGCCTTTCTTGCTCCATGTATACAGACAAGCTGATTTTTTCTGATCTTATATTACCAGGAAAACCACTCTAGCTTCATGTCTGTTCCTTTTCCTTCATCTCAGTTATAAACACAATCAATGTTGAAGTAATTTATATGAAGTTATTCAATGCCATCAGTATATGACCTGGGATATGGTGGAAATTGTAATTCAAAACTTAGTTTCTGTGGAGGAAACTCCTTGAACTCAAAAGTAGATTATATACTAATTTTTTATTTGATTTCTGACAGTGCTAGAAACTTTTTTTCTGTGTGTCCTGGTTTAGCGCAAATTTGGGAGAAAACCTCCAAAGGGCCCCCCCAGGAAACAAACCTGAGCAGCCCCTCCTCCAAGAAGTTCGGGAAAAAATTTCCTCAGAGAGAAGTGGAAAAAACCCGTTTATTCAACAGGCAAAACACTGCCCAGCACAAAAAATTAACAGTACCAAACAACAAAACCTCTCACTGCTCTGAAGAGATGGCAAACCCAGAAAGTCTCTCTCCTGTTTGTGTAGCTCAGCTCAGTCTGTTCTCAGTCCCTCTGGCACTGGAAAATGGCGCTGCCCAGGCCAGGCCCCGGTGGCTGCAGGTGCGAGCTCCTGGTGCTCCCTCGGGTTCCCAGTCCAGAGCAGGGTCAAATAATTCCAGGAAAAGGGAAAAAACCAAAACTGTCCAGGGAACTTCTCTGTCTCAGTTAGTCAAAAAGTAACAGAAAGCCAAGGAGAGCTCTCTGCTGTCCACCAGGGTGACACAGTCCAGGAGATGAAGTGATGAAACTCCTATCTCTGTGTTCTGAAAACAAGAGCCTCAGACATTCCATCATTTCTCCCCCTTCACTCTCAAATCCAGCCTTAAAGGTACAAAACTTATTTCTGGGCTAAACAGACAAATGGAGATACAATTCAACAGGACAAAGTCACCCCAGGACCTCTCACCTCTTATCCCCATATTGTCAACTCGCTACCAAAACTAATTTATATTCTAACTCTGCACACACATATCTTATGCATACACATATATATGGTATAAAACTATGTACAGACAATAGCTGTAACACTCAGCAAACCGTGATATTTGTGTATGGCTCTCACCCAGCAATCATATCTCCCTCAGGTACATATCATGTTGTTCCATCTTTCTGCATTATCCACCATGTGCAACCTGGTCCCTGAGCAAAGACATCCCCACGAATGGGTTTGTCTGTACTTGAAGCAGAATTGATCCAAACTGTCTTCCCTAACAAACCTCTGACATGCGCCACTGGGACTTTGTCTCCATCTACTATATGCAAGGGCTCAGATTATGCAGGGCCTGCTTGGTTGGTGGAGCCTCGGGTGTTGACTAACCAGGTGGACTTTGCTAGATGCTGCTCCCAGTTTTTGGAAGATCCCCCACCCAATGCTTTCAAGGTGGTTTTTAACAGTCCGTTGTATCTCTCCACCTTACCTCCAGCTGGTGCATGGTAAGGGATATGGTACACACACTCAATGCTGTGTTCTCTAGCCCAGGTGTTTATAAGGCTGTTCTTGAAATGAGTCCTGTTGTCAGACTCAATTCTCTTAAGGGTACCATGCCTCCAAAGAACTTGTTTTTCAAGGCCCAGGATAGTGTTCCAAGCAGTGGCATGGGGCACAGGGTAGGTCTCCAACCATCCAGTGGTGGCTTCCACCATAGTCAGCATGTAGGGCTAGCCTTGGCGTGTCTGGGGCACTGTGATGTAGTCAATCTGCCAGGCCTCCCCATGCTTATATTTGGGCCCCTGCCCCCTGTACCACAGGGGCTTCACCCGCTTGGCTTGCTTGATGGCAGCACATGTCTCACAGTCATGGATAACCTGAGAAATACTGTCCATGGTTAGATCCACCCCTCGGTCTCGTGCCCACTTATAGGTGGTGTCTCTGCCCCAATGACCTGAGGCATCATGGGCCCATCGAGGCAGGAACAACTCTGCCTTGTGCTGCCAATCTAAATCTATCTTTGACACCTCTATCTGTGCAGCCTGGTCTGCCTGCTTGTTATTTTGGTGTTCCTCATTAGCCTGACTCTTGGGGACATGAGCATCTACATGGCTGACTTTCACAGGTAGTCTCCCTACCCTAGTAGTGATATCTTTCCACTCATCAGCAGCCCAGATTGGTTTTCCCCTACATTGCCAGTAGCCTTTTTCCACCTCTCCAGCCATCCCCACAAAGCACTGGCTACCATCCATGAATCAATGTAAAGGTAGAGCTTTGGCCACTTCTCTCTTTCAGCAATGTCCAGGCCAGCTGAACAGCTTTGAGTTCAGCAAGTTGACTCGATCCACCTTCTCCTTCAGTGGCCTCTGCAACCTGTCGTGTGGGGCTCCATACGGCTGCTTTCCACTTCTGGTTCATCCCCACGATGCGGCAGGAACCATCAGTGAAAAGAGCATAGCGTGTTTCATCTGCTGGCAGTTACGCGGTGGGGCTTCTTCGGCCCGGGTCACTTGGCTCTTGTTTTTCTTCATCTGTGAGACCAAAATTTTCACCTTCCGGCCAGTTTGTAATTATTTCCAAAATCCCAGGGCGATTTGGGTTTCCAATACAGGTGCGTTGCATGATGAAGGCAATCCATTTGCTCCCGGTGGCATGGTGGGTAGAGGGAGCCTTTGCTTTGAACATCCACCCCAGCACTGATAGTCGGGGTGCCAGGAGGAGTTGTGTTTCCATGCTAACCACCTCTAAAGTGGCTTGGAGTCTTTCATAGGCTTCTAAAATGTCTTTCTCTGTTGGGGTATAGTTGGCTTCGGACTCTCTGTAGCTCTGACTCCAAAATCTTAGTGGTTGGCCTTGAGTCTCAACAGGCACCTTCTGCCAAAGGCTCCAGGATAGACCATTATTCCCAGCTGCAGAATAAAGCACATTCTTCACCTCTGTCCTGTCCTGACTGAGCCAAGGGCTACGCATGAGCAATCTCCTGCTTGATTTGGGCGAAGGCTTGCTACTGCTCAGGGCCCCAGTGGAAACCATTCTTCTTGCGGGTGACCAGGTAGAGAGGGCTCACAATCTGACTGTACTCAGGAATGTGCATTCTCCAAAAGCCTATGGCACCTGGGAAAGCTTACGTTTCCTTCTTGCTGGTTGGTGGAGACATTTCTGTAATTTTGTTGATGACATTGGTAGGAATCTGATGCCGTCCATCTTGCCACTTTATTCCCAGGAACTGGATCTCATGATCCAGTCTGGTCCCTTAATTTTGCTCTTCCTGATGGTGAAATCAGCTTCCAGGAGAATCTGGAAGATTCTCTCCTTTCTCGAACACTTCTGCTGCTGTGTTCCCCCACACAATGATATTATCGATGTACTGCAAGTCTTCTGGAGCCTCACCCTCTTCCGGTGCAGCCTGGATCAGTCCATGACAAATGGCAGGACTGTGTTTCCACCCCTAGGGCAGTTTGTTCCAGGTGTACTGCACCCCCCTCCAGGTGAAAGCAAACTGAGGCCTGCACTCTGCTGCCAGAGGAATGGAGAAAAATGCATTGGCAATATTGATAGTGGCATACCACTTTGCTGTCTT